TCTGGGACACAACCAGCAGGGTTGATCAGGGCTAGCACTGCATCCCTGTCTCCATCACCACATTCCCATGGAATCACCGCACATGGAGAAGGCTCATCTGATCCTGTAAACCACCAAAGCTGGCATCTTATGAAAATCAGACTTGACAGGGACAACTCTTTGGTAGAAGCTGAAAACCAAAGGGAAAAATAAAAACCCACGCAGCTTTGATCACTTAATTTTTCAGGGCTGAGGTCTGATGTGCCCTGTGGGAAGCACCCCTGGATGTCAGGGAGCAGTGCAGGTAGCACCTCGCAGGTGACAAACAGGGGGAGTCAGACACAAAGGAATGATGGTCCTTTAGGGTGAAATATCCAATTCCCAAAATGAGCTATTAGGAAGAAGAGACGGTGATGATCCATCAGAAACAAACAGAATTCAATGCAATGGTTCATGCATCAACCCTTTGAAGCACAAATGGAGTGAGAATAACCCATCAAAACCCAAAGCAGGAGAGGCCAAGCCTTGGGTTTGAGATATGGCTCAGCCCCAAAACATGGTCAGATCTGGATTTGCCAGATTCCTGCTGGAATGTCAGGTCCACTGCTACTCATCCATCCAAGCAGCTTCTGTCCTTGGGTTAGTTTCCCTTGGATGTAAAAAAAGTGCACCAGCCACCTCCTCACTTCCAAGGGATCCATGTGCAAGTGTCCTTTGGACAGCACAGACCAGGCTGAGGCTGTGAGGAAGGATTCTATACTGGGGACATGAGATGCTTCACATTTATGCCTCCTGCCCTTCGAGTCCAGGTAACAGAGAGCAGATTCCCTGACTAGATTTGTCTTGGGCACGGCTAAAGCTCAGTGCTGGAATTCAAATTACAGAGGAGCCCATTATTCTCTGAGTGGGACGAGGCACAGGCCAACCAGAAAGTGAAAATTAGTCTAATGGCAGGAAAAGTGTTTTCATTAGAGAAAAGATTCTAAGAAAGAAGATGGGCTGAAATGAGCTGGATTATTTGAAAGCCTGTTTCAAATTTCTTGGATAGCTTATTTTTTTCAGCTCTATCACATCACTAGAACAGTGGGTTTAATTTCCTTTTTCATTTATTTTTTTCTTTTACGTTATTTTCTTACATATTTCCCTGACTTTTATGAAATTGGTTCTGTAACTGAGTATGGCAGGTCACTTTCTTCCCTTGGCAACCAGCACAGGACTGGACCCTGCACATGTCTTGGTGCTGAGGAGGTATCTGTGCCCAGTTTTCATCCTACCACTTCTCTCCAAGTAACTTCTCCAGCACTGATGCCAAAGCTCACTATTGAACTGCATCCATGGTAATTAATTCTAATTTTAGTGCCACCTCTTTTTAACCACCAATAAATCGATGGTGCTTTGTAATCCAGAGCTGGGATATGTTCCAGCATGACAGAATCTGGCATTTTAAAACCATTTCTGTACCTCCACCCCAGCTGTCAGTACCCTCACTGTTTGGCAGATGAAAAAAAAAAAAAATATCTACCTGTGTGTTTTAGGGTTAGGTAAAGCCTGTGGGATGTCAATTCCAGCAGTAATTCCTTTCCTGGAACTGCAGGCACTACAGCCCAGCAATGGCATTTGGTATGGAAATGGCTCTCTGTGCATAATGAACAGGAGCTGAGTGTTGTCACAATGGGCTGGAAATTCTTCAAGGGATCAGCCACTGGAAATGGCAATTCTGCTTGAAAAAACCACACTAATTGAAAATCCTTAATTTGCTCCTTATATGGCTCTTATACCAAGACAAAATTTTAATTCTAATCTCTAAACACCCCTTCTTTTCTTCTTTGGAGTCTTTTGGAGATCAGTAATACGGAAAAATTGTTCTATTAGTCTGCAGGCTGTTGTCCAGCTATTCCTCAGATGTTTTCTAATCTAATTGTATTTCAAAGAGCTGCCAAAAATATGAATTTTATTTAATTCAAGCAATAGATCTATGGATCTTAAACTATGCCTTGCTCTGAATCCTTCTGTGATGACAGCTATTACCTGCTGCTTTCATGGTAGGCAGTACCCACCTGAAATTTGGGGTTATTCCTGAGGAAATTGTTACAGCTGGTGTCAGACCAAGCTGACATGGTTTCAGCTTCCATATCCTCAGGCACCTTCCAATTAGAGTCAGGCAGAGAAGACTTGCACTAATTTGAAATACAAACCAATAAATAACTAGGTCTGAGTGGGGAGCTCAGCCTACTTCCAGCAGTGAGCACTTGTCATGCTCAGCTCATCTAAAGGCTGCAGAGCCCCGTGTCCCTGCCCTGGGGGACAGTAGGGGGGGGTCTCAGCTTCTCCTGCTGCCCTTGTCCAGCTGTAATTCTACAGGGCAGAGGAAGGATGCTGCCTGCTACCTCAGAAGCAAGGAATCTGGATAATACAGTAATAACACAAAGCACAGTAAAAGAACAATTGTATTAAACACTTAAGACAAACTTAGAGCATGATGCTTGCCCCACTTTCACACATTTCCAACCTAAGTCACTACTCTGTAAATAGAATTTTGATTAATCCCACTGAGGATTCTCTCCCTCTGATATCTATTCTGCAGCTATGATATTCCAAACAAACACTCAGAGCTGTTATATGAGGAAAGCTCAATTATTTATCATGCTCAGCCTTTACCTTACTTTAGTGAATGAAAACCCAAATATCTGACACTACAAACCCCTCCTGTTTTTTGAGCTGCACATTCCAGAACAGCTGTTGAACTGCTCACGCCTGACACCCATAATGATGAACATGCAAAACTTTCTCCATTTTGTCTTTTCCATCCAAAATATCAGCATCTGACAAGGACAGGAGTAAGAAATACTGCTGAAAATTGGTACAGGATTTGCAATGAGGGCTTTAGTTTGCTTTCCCCCCCATGCTGCCCTAAGCAGATGACATGAACTGAGTGCTCAGTGTGCACACACTCCTGAGTTTGGTTCCAGCTCTGATGATCTTCCTGGGAAGCTGAAAGGTATCCTACTCCTCCCCAGGGTGCTTGGAACAAAGGAATTTCACAGAGATAATCTACCCCACAGAATCCCAGCATGGGTCAGGCTGAAAGGAGCACAGTAGGTATCTGGTGCCACCTTCCTGCTCCAGCAGGGCTATCCCAGGGCACAGGATTACAGCCACAGCTCTGGAATATCCCCAGGGAGGAGACCCCACAGCCTCTCTGGTCTCAGTTCAGGGCTGGGCACTGCTGGGAAAAAATTCTGCCTCCTCTGCAGGGAGAATTCCTGGGATCAGTCCCTGCCTGTTCCCTCTGGTGCCATTCCCACACGCTGCATTCTCCCGGTGGCAGGAGGAGAACACTGCATTCTTGTGTTGTGGAGTGTTGTAACTTTACGACACCTCTTTACAAGTAAAGAACATTTTCTTTATAAGTGTCGTAAAGAAAAGTCTTTGTTTCCAAACTACAGTCAAAATTGAAACATCTGCAAATTAATAAATGTCCTAATTAACATGCTTTTAAATCACTGCATGCTGAGCTATTCTAAGCTTTGCATTTATGGGCGGTTACCCAGGCAGGTCTTGTTACAGTGGAAACCAAACCTTCCTCTCCAACCTGCCACCACAGCATCACCCTCTCTGATTTAGCTATTTATGGGATAAAACCTTCATCTTGAACACCAGGCTGTCATGAATAAAATCTCTCAAGCAATCCACCCCAGTTAAAATACTGTTAAGTGTTGTTGTACAACACTTGTGTACAGTTAATGTTCTTGTCCCATTTGTAAACCTTGTTTGTTGTGCCCTTGTTTACCCTGATAGTTGTTAGTAATGTTAATTACTTACCGTTATTGAAGTGTTTTAAGAGTTCTCCTATAGGATGTGCCTCTACCCCCTTTCCCTGTAACTTCCTTGTTACTATGGAACAACCCTGCTCCCTACACTCCTACCTCTCTTCCTTGTAGGGAATCACTGCTGCTGATCCCAGGGGCCGTGTGCTCCGAGGCATATGCAAACTAAGGCATGCCAGACACCAAAACAATGAGCCAACAAGGAAATAAAAGGCCAAAGAGACATATCCTAGCAAGCTACGAAGGAAGACTGTCTGCCTGCATCACCTGAGCCTGCTTAAAAGGTGTCGCCATGACCACAGAGGACTGGAAAAGAATGACCCCCCTGGACAACGAGCTGGAAAGCCAGGCCTCCTGGCTACTCCCATAAGCACACAGCTCTGCAGTGTGTGCTGTAAAGCTGGGTTGTGCTGCTGCCTTGGAGCTGCCAGTGTGGGAGCAGCAGTGGTGCAACAATCCCACGGGCCCCCACCCCAAGGCTGGATTCTAATAAAGGTGTAAAATGGGAGTCTGTCTCCTGACCAATTTATTTCACAGGCAAGACATTTTCCTTGAACCTCTTTGCAGCTTCTTGTAAACTGAAGAACATTCAATCCCTCCTGAGTGTTTTCTGAGGAATAACAATACTTCATGCCATGAGACAGGTGAAGTTGACATGGGTTAACAAACACTCAGGTGATCGAATAAAATTAACCAGGGGCAGATTTCTATCTCTATCAAAAGAGATATGACCCTCTGCAAAAGGACAACAGCTTTATTATTTGAAACAGTTATTTTAGACAAAAATTATCCAGATAAGCTCAAAGTCTCCTTCTCCCCAGAATTCTTTTTGCAAGTAAAAAGGGGTGAGGATGATGCTAGGCCAGTTTAAGAAGTCTAAATTGAGGTGAGTATTTCAATTTATGCTGCTTTTAGGCAAAACTGCAATCTGCAGTGTAACCTGTGCTCCTAATCCTTACCTGGAGGAAATGTTCTGATACAGGTCTTGAGGGGAAAAACACAGACTTCTGTTAATTTGAGATTGAATACACGTTTAGCAAAGAAAACTAGAAAGGAAGACTCATGGAGCAAGAGAGCTTCCAGAGCCAAGCACTTCTTTCCTAGGTTGGAACTTGGGCGTCCTGAACTGACACCAATCTCTGCTTCCCTGTGTGTCATAAAGGATCCCAGAATCATTTCCCCAGATTCCTTCTCCCTGGTAAGATGGGGAAAACCCCCCTCAGTTTTATGAAGCTGCAAAAGCAGTGTTTATAAAGCATGGTACAATGCACAGAGAGAGGTCCACAGTGCCGGTAGCAAAGGACTCACAGGATTATTTTAAGGTATATGTTTAAAAATATTCACTGTCCCCTGGATGGAAATTCTCAGACAGTTTCAGCCTAGTGAATCTGGGTCTTTGCTGAACCTTCTTCAAGGCCTGGTTTATGCAGTGGACCATGCAGACAGGGAATGGCTCACTCCACTGCACTAAATCTCTCCTGGTTTTGAAATGAGCAACAGAATTTGGGACTGCAAGACCAAGCCAGGGTGAGGGTCCCAGCTCCCCAAGAGATCTGAGCATACACAGGAATTATGTATTTGCACAAAAACTTCTTGCACCTAATTTTGCAGAAAATAACTGGATTTTAGCCAGCATTGCTAAAAAGTAAATAAATACTGGGACCACACTGTAATAAACCAGGGGCTTTAGATACCTCGTGGCACAGCTGTGAGCTGACCCATTTTCAGGCCTCTAAAGCTAAAACTGCTTATCAAAGAGGCAGAAACGTGTGCAGGCATATCCTGCAGCAAAGAAACAGAGTGACCCTGGTAAAAAAATAGCTGAAAGCTAGGAGAACAGGCTGAGATGCAGCCCTGATGGCTGGGGAAAAGTAGATAAAGCATCACAAGTGCTGTGACAACAGGCTGCAAAGGCTCAACACTCCTCACCTTGTTGGAACTGCCCAGGGCAGTGGTGGAATCACTGTTCCTGGAAGTGCCCAAAGCCATGTGGATGTGGCACCTGGGGACAAGGGTGAGTGATGGCTTTGGCAGTGCTGGGGGAATGGTTTGACTCGATCCTAGAACCATTAGGGTTGGGAAAGCCCTCTGTGATTCTGCTTTTCCTGTAGCTTGGGTTTTCTTTGTGAGCTCTGACAAAGAGCCCTGCTGCAGGGTCACATAATCCAAGATAATCCACGCCAGGATACTACACCAATACACTTCCCTTTCCCTGGGGTTCAGGGACTGAAATCCCAGAAACTCCAGACTGATCCTTCCTGCTGGATCACATCAGGGTCCTTAGCCTTGCAGAAACACAAAGTTCCTGGTCCAAGGATCTTCAGCTGTGTAATAAATATAGTTATGAATAAAAATTCATAAAAGGTATAAATAAAATATATGTATGACTGCAATGACATAAAATACAACATGTAATGGGGGAAAAAGTCCTTCTCCGGATCTGGTCGTGATTTCCCTCCGAGAGGCAACAGATTGCAGCCAAGCACCCAGATAACAATCGCAAGCAGGCACATCAGCCCCGAAAGAATAGACAGGACACGGGCCATCGAACAAACAAAGGAACGGGCCCGGACGAGATATCACCGAGCCTGAGCATCTCCGCCCTGCCCACCTGTGTTGGAGAAATGGAGAAACTAGACAAAGGAAGAGGAGACAGCCGAGATAGCCATCGGCTCCAGGATGGGTCCCGTCACTCCACCCTAATGGCCCGGACCAAAATGATATCAAAAAGACATCCTGGACCTCTTTACATATGAGGAGCCTCTGCCCAGCGTCTATTGACCCTATTCTCCGGTGCCAGGAAATCTATTCTTCGAACAATCAAGAACCTTTTAGCAAAGGGTGCCTGCTTGGAATTTGGCCTCGGGACATAAACTTCCTATAAAAACCCAGGCCAAGGGACTCTCAGGTGTGGATTTGGGAACACCTATACCTTGTGTATAGACCCTGTCCACCCAGCGCTGCGCTGCTCATTTTATTGTGGTTTTTCTCGCTGTTCGAATTTATTATTGTTTTATAATAAATTTCTCTTTTATTTAACCCGAAATTGCCTTTGCATTTATAACAGCTGCAACACGAAAAACACCACTGTGAACAGAATTCCCTTGTGGAGCTGACCCACTTGTTTGAAGCCAAGATAAAATTTCTGCTGGCTTGCGCAGGGCCAGGGATTGGACTTGATGATCCTTGTGGGTCCCTTCCACTTCAGGATAATCTGTGAGATTAGATATAGACAGATATATATATATAGATGTAAATATATGTTTAATGTCCAGTGAAGAATCATAGCCAGCATCATGAAGGATCTGCATCTGCTTCAGCTGGACACCAGTATGTGTCCAGGATGCCTGGATCAGCCCATCGGGAAGCAGGATCTTCGTCCCAGGCTGGACAGCTGTGGGTGCTGATAGCCCGGCCCAGGAGCAGCTCTGTTAATCCCAAATCCCAGGGATTAACAGAGGCCAGCTCTCATTGCCCTGCTGGATTCATCTCACTGAACTCTCCCTTCCATGCACACTTAATCCACTAAACCTCCCATGAATACGTTCTTAGACTCTAATGACTCTTCCTGATCTTGTCTCTTTGGGTACTAAAGCTGGAACTTAAAGAACAGAAACCTCTGCCACTGTCACCATGTGCTCTGCCACAGGAGCTCATCCCAGCACAGGAACCACGGGCAGCTCCTCAGGAAACAGACACAGGAGTGGTGGAACTCACCTAGAGTAAGTTCTGCTCTATGCATAGTGAACACAACCCATCAGAACAACACAGACTGATGGAATGGCTCCCCCAGACCACTCTGATCCACAGCCCAGGGAGACTAAATATTCCTTCCTGTTTTATTCCTTGCTGTTCCCTCTCAGGAAGACTAAATATTCCTCATGGATTATACTAAGGAAGCAGAAGCTTCCTTCCCCAGAAGCTGTTCCCATTTGGAGAGGGCTGCCAGAAGAACCAGGTTGTGAAGAGACACCTCCTTTAAGGAACTTTATCAGAGAGCAGCACTGAAGGGGCTGTAATAAAGAATTGGATGAATAAAAATTCGAAAGAAAAGGTTTAAATAAAGTATATGTAATTGTAAATGATGAAAATATGGAATGAGAAGTCCTCCTCCAGGTCGAGGCAGGATTTCTCTTCCAAAGCAACAGATTGCAGCCAAGTACCCAGATAACCATCGCAAGCAGGCACATCAGCCCCGAAAGAATGGGCAGGACACGGGCCATCGAACAAACAAAAGAACGGGCCCGGACGAGATATCGCCGAGCCTGAGCACCTCCACCCTGACCACCTGTGCTGGAGAAATGGAGAAACTAGACAAAGGAAGAGGAGCCAGCCGAGATAGCCATCGGCTCCAGGATGGGTGCCACCACTCCACCCTAATGGCCCGGACCAAAATGATATCAAAAAGACATCCTGGACCTCTTTACATATGAGGAGCCTCTGCCCAACGTCTATTGACTCTATTCTCCGGTGCCAGGAAATCTATTCTTCGAACAATTAAGAACCTCTTAGCAAAGGGTGCCTGCTTGGAATTTGGCCTCGGGACACAAACTTCCTATAAAAACCCAGGCCAAAGGACTCTCAGGCGTGGATTTGGGAGCATCTATACCTTGCGTATAGACCCTGTCCACCCAGCGCTGCGCTGCTTATTTTATTGTGGTTTTTTCTCTTTGTTCGAATTTATTATTGTTTGATAATAAATTTTTTATTTACCCCGAAATTGCCTTTGCATTTATAACAGGGCTCTTGGCCAAAGGACTTTTAAGAGGAACTGGGAGGATACAGGTGGCAAAGGTGCCCATCACACAGCTCTCTACCAACAAAGAGAAGGCCATTCCAACCTCTGCCCATTCCCAGGAGCCAAGGGTTTGTGGGAAGTGCTCATGAGACACAAAAGACAGTCTGGGAAATGGGATATGGCTTTGGGGGTTAATCCAGGAAAAAACACAGGAATTGTATCTTCCTCCTTGAGCAAAATGGACAGGGGAAAGTTCACAGCCTCTCTGAGGTGAGGCAACAGTTTTTAAGGCTGAACCATCACAGTGACGGCCCCTGTGCCCACATCCATCCTCAAATCATCCTGGCAAAGGGAAGCAAAATCCCTGGAATGCACCAGAGACGCAGCAGTTCCTGCCCTATCCTGGAGACACTCAGCTTGACACACCACTACTGAGAGAATCCCCTTTCCATCCTGCAGCATCCCAGCTTCTTCTCCCCAGTTTCATACAGAAACTCTCCCATCAGGGAGCAGGATGCCAGGCGTGCTCCTCCACACATCTCTCAGCTGGGAGGGAGCATTCCTTGGAAATCAGATTGCTGCTGCTTGTTCTGCTTTCCCATGAGTGGCTCAGTTGTATCCCAGAGAGACAAATATTTTGTTCCAAGATCAAGGTTTTTCTCATCAGCCTTTCAAAAACAGCTCAGATCCCAGCAGGGCTGGCTGGTCCTTGCACACAAACCCTTACCCCAGTTAGCTGATCCAAGGAGCCACTGATTTCAATAAGCACCACATGCATTTTCCTCACAGATCACATCAGGAATGCAGGATTTCCTTGGAATCACAGCCCCACTTCTGCCTTACAAGCTGTGGCACCATTCCTCAAACTTATTACATTGAAATATTAATTTTGAAGCTAAAAGGCAGAAGGCCCTTGGAGAAGGTCTGAGGCTTTACCTGGACCATGACCAATGTTGCTATTAATACTACTCAGAGGAGTCCAAAACACATCCAGGTGATCCCTGTGGTTTCCAACAGTCTCAGAACATCTAAATGAGTATCAGTCCCCTTGGCAGCAATCTCAAAATCGCATCCAGGCAGATAAGCATCAGTGTTTAGCACAGCGGCCACATTTTGGTCCCAGTGGCTCAGGAATTGCTTCCATGAAAGCAGAATTAATTCAGCAAAGCCATTCAAGCCCCACACACACTTATTTAGACAGATGTGGCAATGTCCATGCAAGTCACAAAGCTAATCCTGCCTAACAGTGGCAAAATTGCAAATGAACATCCTCTAAATTTAATATACACAATCAAACAATCCTCATTCTCTAAAGGAAAATATCTAGGCTGGTTTCTCCATCATAAGGCTTACACTTCCCAGCACTACAGATTACTGCATCCAGAGGGAGGAATGTTTTTCTTATTTCAGTGATAGACTATCTACAAACCCATGTTCACAGTGCTCATGTGGCTCTGAGAAAACACCACGAGATGTGACACAGACAGGAGAAACATAGTTTTTCCCCAACTACATCTGGAATTTTTCCCACAAGCAAAACTTCAACTTTCTCTCATATTTTAAATGCCTGTGACTATGTAACAAAAAGCATTCTTGGGAAGATTTCACTGATTTTTTACATAATTTTTCTTTTAATCCTGAGGTTACAACAGCAAGAAAAAAATAAATATTAAATTATTTTCTTTGTTTTGCCTCTGTTTAAGGATGGGAGAGAGAGAGAGAGAGAGAGACTCGTCCCAGTAAAATTCCAGGTTATTGCAAAGCTAATCCCAGTTGCAAAGTTATAAGCAGCAGGTATATGAGGCTGCACATTGCTGGACAAGAGCTGCAGGAAAAGTCCTTAGAGATTTTTCTATATTTGCTATCAGCCATAAAACAGAGTGAAAAATGCTTCTCTTACCTTGCATGAGCTTGGTATCTAAACAGTTTTCTTCATCCAGAAATTACCCTACTGATTTTTTGCATCAGGGTTTAGATTGCTGGGGTTTTGTCTACCCGTTTTTCAGCCACAAAATTAACATTTCCATATATTGAGTGTGGCCAGTGGTGCACAGGACTGAAGAAAACAGTAACATTGAAGGACTTCAGAGCTCCAAGCCTCTGTAATCTTAAAATTACTCATTCCCAGTGCCAGAGCTATTCAAAATCCTTCAGTACCTCTGAGCTCGGCAGCTTCTCCCCTGGATGGACGGAAGATTTATGGCAGTGGGATTTACAACACTTGTCTCCTGGATTTCAGGCCATTTATTCACCATAAGAGAAATTTAGGAGCTGCTCAACACCTGACAGTAGCAGCACATAACAATTTAAGAGAATTAAAGACAATTTCTGTACTGAACTAAGAACCATCCAGGCAGTTGAGAACTGCACAATACTAGAAAGTCAATGGTGAATTTTGTATCTCATCCTCTGCAAAGAACAACATGGCCTTTGCAAAGACCAGGAATAGTTAAATTTAACATCGAAGAGAAAAAGATGGCTTCTTTTCTTAATTTCTGCATTCAGTCCCAAGTGTTACTCATTTTATATAGTTAAAGGAACATTATTTTTGTGCATTAGGATTGAGCTACCCAGAAATAAAATCTATTTTGCACAGGAGCATCAAGACAAGCTATGTCCTGCTGAACCCTCTGCAAGGTTTTGCCTGGCCTACATCTAAATACCATCTCCATGAAACCTTCACCTTTGCTGCTTTTACAGCCAGCTTCTTTCAGTTACACCCTTTACATTCTCAGCTGTACAACAGCAGCTTCCAGGGTTGCTGGGTCATTCTGCACAACCTTCCCTGTTGCTAGATGTGAGACACGAATATAACTTGGTTGCAAAGTCTCTCTCTCACTGGAGTCCTGAAGCCTATTAAAGCCATGTCTCAGGGAGGGAAAACATGTTCTCTACAGAATTCCTTCGAACTCAGAGCAGTTTCAATGTTACCCTATTAAAATCTGTATTATAATAAAGGTCAAGCCTCAATTTAATGCCATGAGCAGGTGGTAACATCCACATTGTGCCCCACACGCAGCAGATGACTCACTAACACCCCACCACTCCTCAGTCCTGTGCTAACAAACCCTGCCTGGAGCATTAACCACATCTGGAACAGCTTTTCAAGCACGTGCACCAAAAACTGCACATGTACATTGTACTGTACAATATCTCAGTATGCAATGGTTCATCTAAGACAAAAAAAATTGCACTGGTGCCACCATTCAACATCACTGAGTTAATTTTCTATGGATTTTTTCAGCTACAGAGACCATTTCTCCTCCTACCATGCCTAAATGTGAGAAATAGTGCTGCAGCAGCTGAAACCTTAACGCATAAATACAGACTGTTTTCCTTAAATATGTACTTAGGTTATTTTCTAGACAATTAAACTTCTCAGAGGAAAGTATCAGCTGAAGAGAGCAAATATTTGAATCATATTCAGTGCAAAAAATGATGACTAATGGAACAGAATGGTGAAATTTCAAGAGCTGTACTTCATCATTTTGAGCAGGGCAGGGAACAGTGCTACAAACCACAGGGTACAAACCCAGCATTGCTGCAATCAGCTCCTGCACAGATTCTGTAGCCTTGTGTAATTGACAAGTTTTTAATTCATTCTGCCCATCTGACAAAAGAAAACCTCAAACCATAGTTTATTACTACTGCTATTGCAAGATTTCAAGATTTGTAGCCATGAATACACCACTCCAAGGGTGGGGAGGCCCTGGCAGAGATTCCCAGAGAAGCCTGGATCACTGGGAGTGTCCAAGGCCAGGCTTGGAGCAGCTGGGTCAATAGAAGGTGCCTCTGCCCATGACAGAGGCATGGATGGGCTTTGAGCCCAAACCATTCCATGGACACTGTCTCCAGCTCTTCCTGCATCTCTGTCCTGCTCTTTTAGCTGGATTTGGCCCATTCCCCATGGGAGATGAACCACTTCAGTGGTCCCCTCTCCTCTTGGACCTCAGTCCTATGTCAGAACAGACTTCCACAGCTCAGGAACTGCTGAGCAGCCCCCAGCACCCTGTGGCTTTCCTATGGGAAATGCTGCCCAGGGTGCTGCCACACCAACCATCCTCAGAGGGCAAATCCCAGGGGAGTGCAGAAAATGCCATGAGACCTGTTCTGAGTGATTTGGCATCTTCAGAAAGTGGTGAGACAACCTTGAGGATGGAGAACATCCGTGAGAGGACGTTTGTTGCACGGGACAGAGCAGCACCTAAGGAGAGCTCCCGACCTGCCCTTCAATTCTGGGAAAGGCTGTCTCGGATCCTGTGGGATGTC